ATATTTTAATTATTTAAAGAATTTGGATACATCTGGTAGACGATTGCATAAGTATAAGCATTCTGAGTGTATATATTATTATGATGTTAAGTAAAATATCATGTCCTCATTACGCGGTAGGGGGTTAATGAATTTTAAATATTTAAGATTTCGGCTCACATTGCCATCTCTAGGCTGCGTGTAAGCAGCTTGCACAGGTATTTGGTAGTTATGGGACGTTTGGCATTCCTTTATGTATGCTCGCACAGTCGCTGTGAAGGAAGTGTTTGGGCCAGAGTGGGATGTCTTTATGTATTGGTTGTAGCTGCTCCGGCAGCTGCTATTGCTACTGCAGCTGCTGCTGCTGCTGTTGTTCTTGCCGTTGCTGCTGTTGCTGCTGCTGCTGYTCCTTCTGCTATTCTTGAATTTTATGCTTCCACAGGTAGCGGGTGGGATGGGCCTGGGTTGGCTTGCGGCTTCCTTGGGTGGGTGGCTCGATTTAAGCTGGCTTCGTGCGGTGCCCAGGCGGCGTAGCTCCCCGCTGTATGCTTAACGTGGGCGCTCGGGCACAATGCGTTTTGATTGATGTTGGCTGTTCGCTGGATGCTTCCTGTTTTGCTTCTCGCTTGCTTACAATCAATTTAAATGCGCCGTTGTGCATTGTAAAAAGTTCCTTTTTGCTGTTGTCGGCCAAATCGTTATGTGAGGCCATAAAAATGGAATAGTGGGACACACGCACACACACATACACAGAGAGAGAGAGAGAGAGTAAGACAGAGAAGTGGAGAGGATAAAGCGCTTGAAATTGATGCTGTTTGCATTGGTAGGTGTTGCACTTGCCCAACAGCCCCAAATGCAACTTGATGCAGGTTTCCTTCTGTTACGTTGCAGCTTCTGTTGTTGTTGTTGAGCTGAGCAAGCCAAATCATTTATCATCTTTATAGCCAGCTCTATGTGCAGTGGGGCTAATCGAAGCCTGAATATCGGCTCTGGCTACAAAGGACAGATACAAGACTTTGTCCTTCCATAAATAACAGCAGCACGAATCAATCAAGTCTTAAGACAGCCCAGGGGAAGCTGGCCGGAGAGAAGAAGCAGCGGCCGGGCATGATTGAATCCAAGCATTATTCGAGTTTTTTTTTCAGATTTCAATTTGCAATTTCCTTTTTTTTGTGTGTCATTAAAATATAAAGAGATTATTGCGTGTTGCACTTGTCCAAATATGTTTAACAAATTTTTTTTTAATATTATAAAAAATACATAAATATAAAATATGAGTTATAACTTCAGAATATCATGAAGCTTCAATACATTATTATTTATTCAAATAAAATTTTTTTTTTTTATAAGAAACGAATTTCTGAAATTTTAATAGAAATATTATATGTATTTATTATTTTATTATATATTCTGTTGTTAAATGAAATTAATTAATTTATTTTTTTAATTGTTATTCTATTTTTTAGTATCGAAATTTTTTTCTTAAACGATTGACATGAATTTAATAAGATAAAAAACCTTTTCTATTAGCAAATTTTACGAATTTGAAGAAATTAAAAATTATTAATATTAACATGTATACTTGGTTTTATTTCTCAACTATAATTGGAAAATATAATAGTCAAATTATTATTAAATTTTGATTTTATAGCAAAGACAAGAACACACTTATTTGCTTTCTAATTAAATTAATGAATAAATATAATAATAAATGCGTAGTTTTCACATATCAAATAAAAATATTTATTCAGTTTTTAATACTAAGCTAAACCAAATATACATTCATGTATATATTCACTCTTTCATACATATATACCATATGGAAAACACCTATTTAAAATTCTTGTTCTAGTTGACATATCTAAAGCCATGTGAAACTTTTTGAGCTTGAATTTTAACATACATAAATTAAATAAACATTTTTATTCTCGAGCTTTGAAAGAGGACTGCCACTGCTCAACGATGAAGCACTGTACATAAATTTTCTTGAATTTTTATTTATCATCTCGCAGACAGAAAACATAAATTTTATTCTAAAACATGCAACAACAAAAACACATACATATATTGTATATATACAGTTGTCAATACATAATGCCATGTATTATTCATAATTGAAAAGTTTTCTATAAATTATGTAAATTCGTTTTAAATACTTGAAGCATTCTCTAAGTGTATTCGAAACTGATTTGTGACCCACATTCATTGTTAAATTCTCTCAGTTTTTTGGTTTTGGTCTATCTATTTTTTTTTTTTTTTTTTTGTAATTTCTATGAATGCGCACACAGAACTTTACTAACAAAAGTGCCAAACTGTCTGCAGCAATCAGTTGGTCAATTTCTCAAAGTCAAAGCTCGCTCGAATAATGGCCTTAGTGCCCATCGCCCACTGCCACGCCTACTTTTGCGTAGCGACTAAAAGTTGTTTGCTTGTTTGTTTGYGGCGTGCACTTTTAACTCGATTAACTATTTGCAAATATTCGAATTAAAGTCATTTCTGTTATTTCCTTCTCCACTTAGTTCACCTCGAGCTCTTCAAGTGATAATCAAATTCTCGCCTTCTAATTCCCAAGCGGTTATTGCGCAAATTGAATTGATGTGGCTCACTTGTCCGTTATCTTATTTTAGCCCAGTTAACTATGCGACGCACTCGACCTATAAATACTTCAACAAGTCGGAGTCCTTCTGGCTGTTGCTACTGCTGTTGTTCTTTGTGTGTGTGTGTGTGTGTGTGTGCCGTGATTGTCGATAAGTGATGATTGATTCCTCGTTGAGCACAGATGAATGAGTATCGTTTGCCAGCCGAATGAGCCCCCTCGCATTGTTTGTTTAATTCAACGCCAGTTTATTAATTTAGCTACTTACAATCGGAAATTACTCAATGCTGAGCAAGGGAAGAGGCGCATGAGCTTCTAGAATCCGTTGCTTGTTGTTGTGCTTATTTTATGCCTGATGATAAATTTGTTTATTATGTATTCAGTCTGCACACGATGGAATAGTGATTCTGTTTGTAATTGAAACTGTGATTGGCTCTTTTGCTATAAGGTCTTTTTCATCCATACGGAGCCTTAATTAATGCCACAGGAATACAAAATTAAAATTCTGAGTGTGTTTTTTTCGGCAGCTTTCGCAACAATTGGAAAATATGGTATTTTAATGAGATTATGCTGATTTGTTTTTTTATGCATATATTATATTATCGTTAATTACTATGTAGATATTCGTATTATTTTCCTGAATTGTATTTAATTTTTATATTAAATTTGAAAGAGAGAACTTTGACAAATGCATATATATAAATACATATATATTTCTATATTATTTTATTTTTTTTATATTTATTTCTTGCCTTCTGGCTGCTACTATTGACTGTCTTTTATTTTAATTTAATTTGAAATTTCATTCTCATTCTCAATTTCGATTATTTAGTCAGCCTCTCTTACTAATACTATTATGCGCACATTGAATAGAGAAGTGTCTGAAGATGTTACTCTGATTTCCCACTTAACGATCGAGTGTGAAACGTGAGTTCGGCTCTGGGAGAGTCGACAGTCGGCAGTCATATAAAGGCAAGTCTGCTGCACTGTTTCTTCAGTCGCTCCCCTCGTGTCTCCGTGCTCAGTCGTTAAGTGGTCTGCTGTGCAGTAGTCCTCTTCACCTGTTCGGCTCTGTGGCAGTAGTATTAAATATTTTAAGCAGAACTCTAATGAATTTATTAAGCGTCATTATAAGGTAATTATCTTTATTTGAAATTAAATATTGAGTGTCGTATAATTTAATTTCTTCTAATGAGAAAACTGTTTATATTAACTATTCTTAAATTCTAAAATAAACAAGAAGAAATTTACAATTTTTTACTGAAAATTGTTAAACAAATGAATGAATAAAGTAATAAATTATAATCTAAGATTTAAAATTTCCAAAAAAATGTATTTGTAAAATTTGATTTATTATAAAATTAAAAATATGCTCCAGCAAATGAGTTTGCTTGTGTATGTGTGTATTTTTTTCAATTTGTTTAAATTCGTAGCATTTTGCATTATTTGGTCAGACTCTCTAAGACAACATACACTTATTATTGTAATATTATTGTTACATATTATTTCAAGCACATCAGACTCTGTTGTTTTCTTTCTTTCCTTTCTTCACTGTGATTTTCAATCTGTTTGTTTACAATAAATGCCTTATATCAAAACGCCCCAAAGTATGCAAATGTTTTTGTTTTTATTATCAATGCATATGATTATGCGATAGTTCGGTCCGTTGCTTTTCATTTAAATTGTTTTCTTTAAGATACCAAATTCGAATTGCGTTCATACTTAATAATAATCATACAATGTTATTATATTTCATTTTGTATAAATAATAACAATATGCATATACTTATACTGTCACAGTTTTATTTATGTATGTATATAATTTAAATATAATTTTAAATATTAACATTACTGCTGCAGTTTCTCGCTGAAGAAAAAAGAAATATTTCAAGTTGCAGCAAAGGAAAACTCTTACTCATATCTCTGTGGTAATTTAAATAAAATTGCATTGATTGCAATTATATTTAGTAATATGTATATACAGGAGTGTATGCACATAAATTAATATATTATACTTGTATATGTAAATAATGGCCCTTTGAGTATGTACTCACTGATTGATCTGTTTTGTTGAACAACTCTTGCTTTTAAGTCTGGCAATAGTGTTTCTTTCATGAAATGCACATGAGAGAGTGCTTGAATTTGAAAAACCACTAACCGAAATGCTTTTAAGCTATCTAATTCAATGGGCTCTCAAACTGTGACCGCTACAGCAATTTGTCTCCCATTCGAGTTGAACTCGAATTCGCATTGCTCGCAGCCAAATGGCAAATTCACGCAATTAAACACCAAATTGAATTATGCATATCAAATATGTGTGCAGAGTGTATGTGTGTGTGTGAGTGTGTGCGCGTGAAGTAAACAAATTGATTTTGATTTATTTATTTATTGATGCAATGTGTGTGCACGTTCTCAATTTTTGCAGTGCCAAAAACAGAAGCAGACCAACAACAGCAAAAACAAAAACAAAAAAAAGGCGATTTCGTTGACCCAAAATGTCGGAGCTGAGCCCAACTGGATATAGTTGGTTGGCGCTGGCCTAGAAAATGTCAACATCGTGAATCATGTGCTCTACGCATTGAGGTGGAGACACACACACACAGATCGTTACACAACACAGCAGAACAGAGAACAGAGAACAGAACAGAGAGCAAAACAGACAGCAGAACAGAACAGAACAGAACGAACACTATTACACTATACAACACGGTGCGAACTGTACAATGGTCATCCAGTGCACATGCGATTGCAATTGCAGTGATAGAGAGAACCGCAGCTCCTGTTTGCCACGCCTTACGCTGCGACTACGTGCCACGCCCCTGGATGCTGGCAATGATATGGAGCATCGTTTGTCCTACTATCGCCGGCTATCGAATACCTCATCAGCGCTCTACGGCAGCTGTCCCCAATTGCTGCCCGTTGGCCAAACGTGCCATAGCCACAGCCAGAATCAGAATCAGAGTCAGAGTCAGAGTCAGAGTCAGAGTCAGCTGCAGAATCTGAGTCGCAGCCTGGAGCAAGAGCAGGAGCAGGACAGGGAGCGTGAGCTTAGGCCATATTCGAGTCTGGTGCGCACCAAGCACAGAAGCTCCGTGCTGTGCAACAAATGCGCGCTGTGACGAAGATACAACCTAAGCTGTGAGCATCCCGAGTCGCAACAACCGCAACTGCATCCACATCCGCAACAAGGCCGCAACAAGCCAGCGCCAGCAAAAGAGACAGCCGCAGCTGCAGCTGCAGTCAACGGCCCAGAGGCTCGGCAGGAGGCAGCCGCCACGCTCAGCACACCACGATATTTGTGTGCCGAGTGCCGATTTAACAACCAGCCGCTGGCCTGGTGGGTCTCATGTCCGCGTCTCTCCAATCTGCCCGCTGAACAGCCTCAAATGCCAACGCCAGCAATGCCGTCACAGCCAGCAACAGCTCAGTCACAGGCCCAGGGCCAGGCACAGGCACAGGCACAGTCCCAGGGCCAGGCCCAGACCCATCATTGCCATGCCCCGAATCCGGCCCGCTTTCCACTGCAGCCAGGCAACGCCAAGCGGCATTGTGACAATTTTGGCAGTTATGCAACATTGCCCAGCATCGAGCAGCAGCTCCATCATGCGCCCAGCTATGGGAATGTGGCCTGCAGTCGACATTGCGCGACCTCCTCAATGCCGCCGCAACCGGAGCCGCCGCCACCGGCCTCCAGCCTGCGCTGGTATGCGCCGGACGGTGCCAATCCCAATGCCAACCTGAATCCCAATCCCAATCCCAGTTTGAATGCTTGTTGTTACGTTTACAATCCGACGCCCCACTACGCCCCCGAGCTCTGCGTTTGCGATAATTGGTATCACCAGCACCAACAGCAGCAGCAGCAGCAGCAGCAGCAGCAGCACAGAGGCATCCCGCCGCCTCCTAAGCCACTTATGCCCAACGGCGGCTGCTACTTGGGTGAGTAATGAGCCTGCCCTGCAGTCCACTGCAGTCCACTGCAATCCACTGCAGTCCGCTGCAGTTTGCTGTGCGCGCTGTTTTCTATTTAATCAACTTTCAATTGTCCGTGCCGCAGGCTTTGACACTGCCCACCATCCCAGCCACATCACCGACGAGGAGGACTCGGCGTTTCCGGCACTCGCCGATCGTGAGTTCCATTTGCTGCATCGCAACATCCCAGCGCTGCGTCGCACGGGTGTGGACACAACACGCATACGACAGGTAAGCCAGCCAGGACAGCAGCACGTCCAATTACCGCTCTAACTGCCTGTCAAAGCGAATAACTCTTGACTAACTGCATTTGCCCTGCACTACATTCACCGCAGTACTTCTACCCGGACGGCGGCTGGGGCTGGATCATCTGTGGCGTCTCCTTTCTGGTGCACATTCTCACCACGGGCCTCCAGCTCAGCTATGGCCTGTTGCTGTTCTACGCCGTGCAGCATTTGCATAACACAGGTGGCATAGGTAAGTCGAGTCAAGCACATGAAAAAGGCGAACGCCTTGACAGGTAGCTGTATGCCAGATATTTCGAATTGGTTAAGTGAAACAGTTGAATGTAGAATGGTTTATAATTTTGTATACAGTTGACAAGGCGTACACTCTTAAAGTATTACAAAAATTTATATACTTTTATAAATGCATTTAAAATACTATAAAACAAGTAAACAAATAAATTAATAAATTAGAGTATATATTACATTTTATGTATTAAGGAAATTATATTATAAA